CTGCTGAACGGTTTAAAGAGGATAATCTGGAGAAACATGTACATAAACGTAAACTGAGTGTGAGAGTACATCGGTAGAGGTAGACTTAGAAAGATATAGATGGACTGCGTGAATGGTGACAGGATCAGAAGGGAGTGACTGAGATGACGTATGATAGAGTTATGTGGTAGACAAGAACCTTTTGCGCCGACCCTACGGGAGTAGAATAAGGAGAAAGATGATGATGATATAGGCTGTTGAATATTTTTTATTATTATTATAAACTAGTTAATAATTTTTGTAAGATTAATCATGATCACATTTTGCAAGCCTACGTAAAATAATATTTCAATAGCCTTAAATTGTCAAAATTCCACGCTGGGTGATAGGGTCACGGAACAAAAGGGTTAACGTTTAAGCTAAAATGTATTTGGAACAGTTTCTAAGTTTTTTATGGTATCCATTCAGATTACTAAGCACCATTAAGCGTGTTGCGCATATTTACGAGTAACTAATAAAAAGCAAATCTAACAGTGGTAGTGCAATTACAAATTAACAGTGGCAGTGCCCGCTTTAACATCTTAGCACGAATGGGCCGGCACGCCCTTTGTAATACCACGACCACACAGAAGAGAGGCGTGAAATGGAAGCAATTCCGTGTTTCGTCTGATGAGTGTGGTGCCGGAGGCCTAATTTAAGTCCCTTTCTCTTTGCCACTCTTTTCTTATAAGGAGAAATTGGGAAGAGGAAGTGGATTTGACGGTGGGGGAGATGCATAGGAAGGGGAAATATCCTCTTTATGTGCGTCTCCTCCTCCGTCGTATAAGGGTAGAAAACGCATCTGCAATTGCGGATGTCTATGGGCAGCGGTTGCTTCGCCATTTTGGCGGTTTCAGGAGGCCGATTGCTCGTTTGCCACTTTATGTAAAAAAAAAATCAAATAATATTTAGTACTTTGCAAGATTACGTTGATAATGCAAGAAAATTGAACGTGAAATAGGATATACAAAGTTTTCTCGGTGCCTTACCGCAGTAACTTAGTGTTGGAGATCAGATCAACTTACAGTTTGTGTTTATACGGGGTCCTTAAAGGTAGGTTAAATTACATGAATTATAGAAGCGTGCTAGATTATAACTATAGAAACAGAAATAATAGTTGTAGATAGAATAATACACTTTTCTTCTTAATTACAGGAATGAGGACAGAAAATAAAACAATTTAAAACACTTGGCAGACATAATATTAAACTAAGAAGGCAAGGCTTAACTCATGTTATACATGTAGGCACCAACCAATTTCAAAGCTGAATTTATCACGTACGTTGTTCCGAGTTTGTTAAATTTTGGAAGGATAAATTGACTTATTTTTTAATAAAATCTAATTATCAGTATGGCAACACTGTCTAACGTCTTAGTGGCATGCCAGTAATCATTCCTATCCGAGCCAACGACGGGAGTGGATGACACCACCGTACATACAGCTAAGAGGATTGTCGACAAATAAAATTTTAACTAAAACATATTAAAAACACCACCGCTTTAGAAATATTAAGAGCACTTGGCTCTTAACACATTCGTATGAAAATGTATTTTTAAAGTAAAACGTATGTAAACGAAATGTTTGAAAAGCAAGCATCTTATGCAACTGCAGTTACTTCGTTAAATATTTTACCTGCGCTCAAAGAAAGAATCCTGGCATAGATTTAACTAATGCATATTTGAAAAGATTTCCTTTTATTTTCTCTTTCATTCCTGCAGTTACAACGGCCTAGTTGTGTTGTTTCGAGTACTGCAAGAACTATATATCCAGGTTACTTAAAATCAAGTATTCATGTTACTTAGTAATATATTATTATCTTACTAATAGTAAATTCGAAAATGTAGATGGGTGGGTGTTTGTTAACTTTTGCATAAAAGTTTTCTTAAAGTTACTACAAAGTTATAAACATTATTTCTATAGAAAATAATTTAGATAGTGATATGTTAATTTATATTGATAGTTAAATCTCCGTTCAGGTTTAACATATAAATGTAGAACAAATCGTTTTGAATTAAATTTGTAAAAATAAGTAATATCCCGTCAGCTACACCGTGTACAATTAAAACTAAATTGCGGACTTCGTACAAAAGGTTTTCGCGGTTTCCCATGAAACAACTTTTAACAATAGTATTGTATGAAAATAGCCTTGTTTTCCAGATTTGAATAGTTATATTACATTCTAAAACTGTTTTGAGAATACAAACAGTTAGAGCGGACGCTCACCTTTAACTACACTATCGCACGACTGTTGTGCGATTGTCAATTGTCGACTGTTTTGCAGACAATTCAACTGCTTCGTTGCACAATTAAAAATCGAGTAGTGTGAGTATCTCCATATAAGCTCAAATCAAAGTGAGACTTAACAGTTGTGCATTAGTAATAGCGCGCACTTAGTGCGGGTTTAGTTGTTGTCTTAAAGATAGAACGGTTTTCATTGATATTTATAGGTTAGAAAACTAGTAACTAATTTAGTAATATACAAAGAAAACCATTCAAGTATTCATCTAACTTCTATGATTTAACATTCCGAACTGCATTATAGAATTTGATTAGCTTCTTACATGCAGTCATTTTTTTCATCAAAAGACAAAATATGCAGCAAAATTGTTGGCTAGCAAAGTTGTGGAAATGAACACATAATATTTTATCCAGTTGGGAATGAAGTCTCTGCCTTTAAGGTACTTAGGGTTGTCATACAGGAATTTTCGTTACACTTTTTTTTTCGTTAAAATATTGGTGCGACTTTGTTCAAATATTTACAAAAGCATAAATGATACTCTATGTAATGTAATTTTAAGAAAATTACATGTTATAGGTACGCAATATTTTATGCTCGGTTCAATTTCAGAGAGTTCTTAACGCTCCAATAATTTTGTTCCGCCCTATTTAAATCTCAGTCTGCAAAAGCAACAGGTTGGGAGTTGTTCTCATATGTTAGAATTTCTTTAAGTCAGAATAGGGTTATTTTCCCATTTGTTGCAATATTATCTGAATTGCCACTTTACTTCTTTATTCTTAACTAACTGTTGCCCGCGACTTACGTCAGCTACCTTTCAGTGAGTCCGGTTGAAATCGGTCTAGCCGTTTCGGAGATTACCCGAGACAAACACGGCATGCGAACAGACAGACATAAAAAATGTGATTTTTCGTTATCAGCAACGCAAATACATCATTTTCCCGTAATCTGGAATTTTCTTGTAATATTACAAACAGACACTCCAATTTTATTATGTGTATAGATGATAGATTTGGTAACTGACATGATTTGGGTATTCAGAGATTTTGAACATAAAGTCCGCTGCACACGTTCCGTTTTAACTGTATAGTTCGACTGTTAAGTTTAAACTAAACAAGAGACTATGACATGTAGATGGATAATACCGTAAAGTTAAACTGACAAAATATCTTTACAGAAACATATTAGGTGGCCAATTTTTTTAGAGAGTATGTAAAGGAAAATATTAGTTTATACAGGTTTTTGAGAGAAAATATGGATAACAATGCACCCTGTTAATTCAAATTATCTTGTAGTGTTACATTTTCTATTAAATATTAGATTTTATAGTATCTTGACAAACTATTGTAAAGGGAAATAAATATACACATCTTTTGAAACATGAACGTTTAATTACTTTATTAAAAAATAAATAGACAAAGTAATTTTTCGATTAAAAAAACTTCAATTCAAACCACATACTTAATAGCTAACTTACAATTACTTGTTACACATAGATTTATTTTGCGTTTTCTTAAATTTGATATATGTACAGTCTCGTTATAGCCATAAAAAGGTAAAATTGTGATTTATTTTTAAAAGATAAGTATTTCATTTAAAGTAATAATTATGAATAATGTGATATTTTTGGGACAATTCAAGTTACATTAAATGCAAAGTAATGGAGCAGTATTAAGTCCTGAACACACAACTTTAACGGAAGAGTTTTAACTGTACTGTCACATTTGTACTGTCAGATAAATCATCCAATTAAAACCAAAGGTATGTAGCGGAATTTAAGAACAATATTTAACTCCGTAAAAAGTGGTCCTTTGTCTTTGGCCTTTGGCCAAAGATCTAGTCTGGTTTGAAATTCGCCTATGAGAAATTATTTTTTATCGATAAACGGCCACATGTAAGGGAGGCAAGAAATTTATGTATGAAGAAAAAAATGGTTATGAATGAGAGGGTTTTAGCAACAGAAGTAGGCTTTAGAAGTGATGGATTACTTAAGGTGACATGATCAAGAAGGGGGACGACTGAGATGACGGAATATAGATCTATAGATCTAAATCCTGTTGCGTTGACCTCCGTGGGATAAGGACAAAGAGATGATGATAACTGCCACATTCATAGAACTAAATGGTGTATGAGTAGTGTTTACTAAGCAACTGTTAAAATAAGCTCTGAAAATATCCATAAATATTTCTTCGATTTACGTTTAAAGGATTTGGTTGTGTGGAGTTTATAACTTACTACAAACATATATAATAATAGAAAAAAATTGTTTAAAATATATACAATAATAAAACACATTATGTACAATTACTTACAAACTATTTACATAGATATTTTTATTTACTTTGAACATGATTTTTGTCAAAAAAGATAAAGTTTTATTACGTAATCTTTGAGAATATTAGATCTGAAGGATAGTGTTATGACTCTGGGTTTTAAATATTATAATAAATAGTTGTGATTAACAATAAAGATTTCAACTCTTACAATTATATCACAATTTTACATGCATTATAAATAAATATTTACACTACACCAATATACCATGAAAACAACAGAATAGTTTTAATTATTTTTGTTGTCATTCATTTTTTAAATCAAACTTAAACAATCAAAAAAGTTAATACAGCCCGATAAAAAAAACTTTTTAATGGATTTAATCCGCAGTTTAAAACTAAAGTATATTAATCAAAACTCAAACAAAATACACATAATCTCGATATTAAAAAGAACGATTAAAAAGTTACATTACATTAAAAATATTACATTGAAACAAAGAGTAACGAGAGATAGATTGAATTTGTTTGACTTTGATGTGAGGATTAGATTTCTATAATCTTTGGCTTCGTTTTGTGATGGATAAGTATACGTTCTATCCGTAACACTCTTTACTGCAGCAGGACAGGGTAACAGTTCAACTGGTATCTGCAATAGAGTTCTTTCATTTTCTTTTTTAATCACCTTTGGTTCTTCAATAAATTCTTCATCTAAATCATCATGTACATCATCTGAATCTTTATATTCCTTATCCGGAGGTTTTTCATCTATAAATATATTGTTCGTATCTACAATAGATTTTTCGTAGTAAGTCAAATGAGAGTTCATTGCAGGATCGATGTTGAATTTGCAGACAAAGTTCTCAAGCGATGTCCGAACTTTTATACTTCTGGCTTCGTGACGTAGTTTATGCATCCATGCAAGATGACAATCGCAGTCGAAATCATTACCTGTAAAAATACAGAATTAGAAAACGTAACAATCGGTTTCTACTACCGAAAGATCTGTAAAGGTATGCTTTCGAAGATCTCATATTGTTTAGGAGTGGGCACACACTTTTGAATAATCTATCGCATAAATGTATGGGATTGTCGATTGTTTCGTAGCCAATTTAACTGTCTCATTGCACAACCAAAAATCAAGTAGTGTGCGCTCCATATAAGCAAATAGGAATCAAAGCGAAACTGTACGATAGTTATACTTAGTCAGTGCGCGAGCTCTTAGAAAAAAAAAATCTTTTAAATGTATGTTAAGTTGTAACTATTGAGCATTAAACCTAAAAAATATGGTAACTTTTTTGGATTACATTCAAGTTTAGATAAAAGTGGTTTAAATTATACGATATTACCTTCCAAATAAATGTAGCTCTTCTGATTTTTCAAATTGTCATAAATAGGTTTAACATTATCCAATGTGAATCTCTTCAGTTTGTTATATCTTAAGTCTAATGCAGATAGACCTCTTACTCCTTCAAACAATCCACTTATCAGAGCAATCAGTTTATTATGACTTAAGCTCAGTTTCTTCAATAGAGACAGTCCATCAAATGTTCTTTGTGCTAACGCATGAATTTCATTATAATCCAGCAGCAACTCTTGTAGATTCCAAAGCTCGGTGAATGTAAATGATTTTAAAACAGTCAATTTGTTTCGCCTCAAGTCTAGACGTTTCAGATTCGCCAGTCCATCAAAACATTCCTTCTTCAGTTCATTTATATTGTTCCTATCTAACTCTAATTCTAGTAAGTTTACAAGATGCCTGAATGTACCATCTTCGATAACACTTATGTTGTTACTCGTTAAGTAAAGTTTGTGTAAACTAGGCAGTTCGTAGAATGTCTCAGAAACTAATCTTGTAATTTTATTCTCATCCAAAGTGAGAACAGTCAAATTAGGCAAGTTATAAAACGTATGTCTTTCTACGTTAACTATTTGATTCTTCGTTAATGTTATTTCTCGTACATTAGTTAGGTTAACAAACGAATAACTTTCAATATTTACAATAGAGCTATACTTAATACTAAAAGTTCGCAGTTTTTTGAGATATAGTAGAACATTAGTGGGTACGAAATTAAGTCCTCCATCAGCTCGTACGTTGAAAGCTAAATTTTCTATATTAGACTGCGATGTAAAACTAGACCACAGAATATCTGACTTTTCAATTCCACCGTTGAATACCCAACATTCAGTTTTTACAGCTTCGTTTATATCTTGACTTATTTCACAGTAACAATGTACTTTCGAGTCTCGATCACTTATGTCGCATATATTTATTGTGGTATGAACAACTTTGTCTTTCTGTTTGCGTCTTGTTGCGTCTAACTCCAGTGCAAACGCCAGCAGTAGCAAGGTAGCGGGTACTATTGGAGCCCGCATACCTTCTACCTGTAAAAAAAAATACAAAATTTAATAAAAATCCAAAGGTAATATTAATGTCTTTTTTATATTACTAATTATCTTAGCCCGAGACTCAGGCCGCATAGAATAAAAAAAAACTGAGTAGTATACATATGTGTTCTTCTAGATTATCCTCTACATATATAAAAAAAATCATCAAGATTCGTTGAGCAGGTTAGGCTACAAACTCTAACAAACATCCATCCATCTAAATTTTCGCATTTTTAACATTAGTAAGATTTAAAAATTAATTTTAATATCAACGTTCTCTGTCAATTATTATTAATCTTTTATACAAAGTGTTGGTATTTAAAGCCGGTATATTTCTTTTGTTGTAGGGATGGATATCTTTCAAAGATATCCTGTTTTCTGGGAAGAGACAGGGTTATGTGGGTTTGGAACTACTAAAACCTTCTCGGTAGCCAACCTCAAATTCAATCGATAATCATATCTACCGATATAAATACATACTTCATCTTATGTATTTTAAGTCTCTTATTTACTTCAAATAATGATACGCTTATTAACATTAACTAGGTGCTCGCGACTTCGCCGACGTGAAATTAAAAAAATATAAAAAAACAGACTATGTTACTCACAGATAAATTACCATTCTAATGAGGAAAGCGTTTTAGAAATCGGCCCAGTAGTTTTTAAGTGTAAATACAAAAACACAAATCTCTCCTTTTAATATTAAGTATAGATATAGATTTAAATAATACATAGGTTTGCTTAGTGTTCATTATTTGATGTTTACACGACTATTGCTTACGTTAACCGTACTGCTGCTTCTGAGAATAATGACAAAGTGTTTATTATACAATACAAATGTTTGTGCAAACATGTCAACAATGAAAATATTTGTATTGTCCAAATAATTATATTATTTGATGATAAAACAAAGCTTATGCTAATTATGAATATGTAATAAAGTATTTAAATTGTTCAGTTTTAATATCACAGTTTGAGAGTGTTCACATCTTTGACTAAACTTTCGCACAGCGGTTGTCCGATTGTCAATAGAGTCGCAGCCAATTAAATTTGTTTTTTTGTACCCCCGAGGAGAGGGTCCTTTGGGTACCTGTTGCTGTCGCTAATGCAGCTACCTTGGTACCGTTAGGTTATTTTTAAAGCAATCTGTTTTAGCAAAATGTTTTACCACTTAGTACGACAACAATTCAATTTTAATTATAATTCTTATTAGCCAATTAAAATTGGTTTAAGGTTCCACTATAACTCGAGTAGTATGCGCACCTCTACATGGGCTCATAGGAATCAAATCGAGACTAAATAGTCGTGACATAGTTTAGTCAAAGCTCTCTAACTCTAGTCAGACTATTTAAGTTACATATCTTCAGTTTTAACTAAACAGTTGCTACATAGTTTAAATTATAAGTTTGAAATAAAAATTTAAATTAAAAATTGCAGAGAGACAAGAAGAATCCGATCTAGCGAACAACGTAGATAACTTTGACAAGTATAAAACAACTATTCAATTGTTATTCTGTAAGAGCTTTGACTAAGCGTCACAGGTCAAAGTACCAATTTCACGCTGTATAAAGATTGTTTTCATATTCACGGAGGCCTAGAAAGTGGACCTACTTACTACTAATAGAGTCAACCGTTTATGTAAAATAATGTGGACAAGAAATTAAAAACCCAAAAAAAAAAATTGGTAAATTTCATTTGTTTTGATATGCATATTTATAATGCAATTTTTTGTTTCATTAAATGTTTTTTAAAAATGTGTAACTGGTAAGTATAAACATAACGTTTGCTATGGAAGAACGGGACATTCTGACACAAGTTAATATTTTACTTACAAGAATGTCCCAGCAACGGATATCTAATTTTTTTTTTATAAAATTCTTATTTTATAAAAAATTCCACCGAAATGGAAAGCGACCGCTGCCCATTAACATCTGCAATTGCAGATGCGTTGCCTATCCTTAATTGACGGAGGAGGAGACGCACATAAAGAGGACATTTTCTCTTCCGATTTCTATTACTGAGGGCGAGCAGGCCCATTCATGCAAAGATGTCAAAGCCGGCTCTACCACTGTAAAATTGTAAGAATGTATGATTTTAAGTAATTAAAATTTGTTATTTATTTATTATTACTTGATTTTTCTTCCAATCTTTATGTAACTAGAACAAACAAATGAAAACATTTTTTTTTATTCCTTCTAAATAGAGTGTAATTATTAGTTTACGAAAGGTCAGGAAATTAAGCTGTAATTTATTTGACGAACAAACTCGTTAGGCGAAATGGACTTAATATTCCTCAGAATGGCCAATTCAAATTTCGAATTATCCATAAATTTACTTCAAACTATTGCAATTAGCCCTTAACATGGTAAATAGAGTCCCTTATTATATTGTCAAGAGTCCATTTAATTATCTTTAGACATACTTCGTTAATAAGTATACTAATAATTAATAATATCTTAAATCTAATATCTCTATCTTAAATATATAACATAATGGAGACTTATTTCATTTTACTCTTAACATTTTTCAAATCTAAATTATTACATAAACTGAAATTACAATTTCCAACTCGTCAGTACTAATTTAATGAAATTAAGGTCTCTTTAAATTTCATAGACGAAATGAGAGCAAAATGTACACATAGCAGCAAAATTAAAGCCTACGAAATTATAGGAAGGTTCGAAATCACTCGCGGTCTGTTACTAAATTGTGATAAAGCCAATTCCTCGATTTATTAAATCAATAAAAAAATATTAATTTAATTAATATAATAAAAACATCAATAATTTCTGAACTTGTAACATTTTTAGTGCAGGAAAAGGATATGTACAGTCAGGGAAATCCACGGTATGCTACTTTAAGAAATGCCTTGTTTATTAAAACGCGACAAACTCAACCCGTAGTCCGTTACGCGGTAATTAGCCGCGTACCATTTACAAAAACACATTTACAAGCTACGCCTTAAAGCGTAAATAAAAACGTTCAAGCGACTGTAGATTTAAACTTTAACACCGCCAAGTACCCCAACTGTACGTAAGCGTTGGTAGGGTTCTTTGTTAACCTGGGTTTGGATGAAGTGATTCATGACCTACCCTCACGTATAATACGCACTAGACGTGGAGTGTCGAAAAATGTAACCCATACTACTAACTAAAGCACAAGTACTTTTCACTCCCTTTGTCATGTTTTCTAGTTTTTTCTATACACAGAAGAAGAAACAAAAACTATTGGTTTGATACTCAGTAGTTAGCGAAAAACGTCTCTGTATGTTAATGCCTGCAATACACAACTGCGAAATTGTATCGTTTTTTTCTTTAACTTCGTGTGTGTGTGACGGATCTAATACCGCATTTTCGAAATCGGTTTACTACTTTTTGAATTAAATATCAGCGAATACAAATACTTTCTATTAATAATATTAATATAGATTTACAATAAACCTACTTTAAATAAATTACATCAAGAAACGTTGCTAAACTCAATAGCATTGCATCTAGTGGTAAGATATTGAAGCCTTAGCTGAACAATTCTCTGACGTTCCGTATCTATTGAAACAGACGCTATATCTGGCAAAGAGATGCTTGATACAGGATTATTACTTGGAATTATCTTTATTAGTTCTGTTAAATCATTAGAAACTAGGATATTATTTATAGTAGGAAATTTGTAGTAGAGTTTATTAAGAGAAATAGTTAGAGAACTGTATGCTTGGGACATCTGCTGCCGTCGGTGGCTCGGGCAAGACTGACTTGCTGGCATGACACCATGACACAAGTAAACAGTGTGGCCATACACTACAGTTAGACACTGTTTAGTATAACAGGTATTTAATTCTTCTGGTAAAAGTACCTAATTATTTACTAATCAAGATCTAGTACGTATAACTACTAGCCTACGCATATTTCAATAGCCATGAGTAGTCAAAATCAACGTTGAGCGCAATAGTCATGGTATAACAGGGTTGACGTATGTGTAAGCAAAAATGTATTTAAACATTGTCTAAGTGTTTATGTTAAAGTCTTCATTGACTTCAAAAGGCAGATTTTTTACAGCGTACGCACACTTGAAACAAAACTGTCGCACAACTGTTTAGTCCCATTTTGATTTTTATGAGCTTTTATGGAGGTGCGCACACTACTCGATTTTTAGTAAAATAAACAGTTGAATTGACTGCGAAACAATCGACAATCGCATACCAGTAGTGCGACAGTCTAGTGAAAGGTGTGCGCCCGATCTTAAAGAGAATGTCTGTATTGTTTTAGTAAAGGTTAGTGTTACTATTCTTTAGCTTAAGTAAACGTAGACTAAGCGATCGTATTATATACTCCATTAAAACAAATAAGTCTCAAAACAATTCATCTTCAGAAGTACTAAAGCAAGGAAATTTCGAGTTTTCGTCTTCAGTTATGACTGAACGCCAGTTTTGTTTTGTAGCATCCAAACTGATTAATAACCGTGTAATTCCACTGCCTCTTGGGTTGTTTCGCTCTGTTTATTTGTCTGCGGTATCTTCTCGTTAAATTAAACGCTTGCTATTGTTTGCCATTATATAAATTATTGCCTACTAAATGATGTAATAAATCTCTCTGTAAGTTTGTATAAAAATGTATAGTCTTTTTTTTGTTAATTAATATTTTAACGGATGGTTTATTTTATTGTTACCTGTAAATATTCTTTGATAATAAGGTTTTTAATTAATGACATGCTAGCTTTTGCCCGTGACTCCAGCCGCGTGGAATAAAAAAAAAACAAATATAAGTAGCCTATGTTTCCTTCCAGACTATGCCCTACATCTATAGCAAATTTCATCGTGATCCGTTTAGTCGTTTAGGCCACAAACTCTAACAAACATCCATCCATCAAAATTTGATACTCTTTGATTGTAAAATATTAGGGGTTGCTATGGGCATCCCCATGTTTATTATAGTATTGTTTAGTTAGAGCGATGGATAAAACATATTAATTATGTGAATAAATAGTTTCAATTCTCAACATAA